CATTTTTAAATGACCCGCAGTGCACCGCGTTAAGACAAAAAATAAAAGAAAAATATCAAGATAAAAAACAGTTAGTTGGCTAATAGAGTTAATTCGCAATTTGTTTCCTATAAAACATCCATAAGTAATGTAAAATAAAAGCCCAGTATAAAGCACCCGCATTTTGCAAATGTTCTTGTTACGTATGAAATTTAGAATTAGGTTAAAAAACTCAAGGTAAAAAGAAAAAATGGGCCTAACAATTGAGATGATCGAACTGGTCGAGGGGCATTGCGAGGAACTCAGGTAAAGTAGATGTATTTCTAAGGAAATAGCGGGTCGGAAGGTCCGCTGGTCGGAAGGTCCGTAGGTCAGAAGGTCCGCAGGTCGAAAAGTTCGCAGGTCGGAAGGTCCACAAATCGGGTGGTCTGCAAGTCGGGAGGTTTACGGCTGGACCAGCAAGTCGGATGGTCTGTAAGTCGGGAGGTTTGCGGCTGGACCAACAAGTCGGATGGTTTGTAAGTCGGGAGGTTCACGGCTGGACCAAACAAGTCGGGTGGTCTGCAAGTCGGGAGGTTTGCAGTCGGACCAACAAGGCGTAAGGTCTACGGTCGGTCCAAAACGGCGGAAGATTTGCAGTCGGACCAACAAACCGTAAGGTCTGTGGTCGGTCCAAAAAGGCGGAAGGTTTGCAGTCGGGCCAATAAGATGTAAGGACTGCAGTCGGTCCAAAAAGGGCGGAAGATTTGCGGTCGGACCAACAGGTCGGAAGAGTTGCGTTCGGGCCAAAAGGGCGGAAGGTCTGCGATCAGTCCAAAGAGTTGGATACTGTTGAAAGTGAGTGAGAATGATAATTCGGTCGGCTGAGGGCACGTGTCAGCAGGGGAAGGGTTAGCAGACAATTGAAAAAGAGGCGTTGTAACCGTTCAGACGACGGTTTCCAGTACCGTTTCTGAAGAGCATTTAAGGATTAAAATTTGCAACTGACAAGGCATCTTCAATCAACTTCAAACGACGACAAAGTCAGTGATTCGGGGATCATCATTTAAATTTTCAGCATTTTAATTTCCAGTTAATTTTCTGTACTGTACAGTGTTTAGAGATTTCTAATTTCAGATGCTAAATATATCAAGTTCGAGAATAATTTCCTATTTTCGGATTTTACTTTCTGTTTGTTGAAAAAATACATCAACAGTTTTCAAATGGCATGGGATAAATACAACCACAATTGAATCTAAACTACCTACAAAAATTGATTCGTTACATGAACCAACAACCTTAATTGTAAATTTTGTAAACAAACAAATCTAGAAAAACACTCGAATAACAACTCAAAATTGGAGTAACAGTCGCTCTCATTCAGAAGAATTCTAATCCTAATGGGATACCATTCCAATTTTTACAAATCTACATTTACAACATGCCTGGAGAAAAAGGTTTAATGTAAAAATATCTTAGTTGGACCTCTTCTTCAAATCTCAACTACAAATTGTTGGAGGACGAACACAAGATATTCAGCCATCGAAGACATAATCAAACTTAAAATTGATAAACAAAGAGATGAAGAAGAGAAAATTGACCAAAAATTAGTTGTTTTTCTTACCAGAATTCGACCATCCTGTTGGACGCGACTTGCTCGTCGTCGATGTCTAGATCTCCAAGAGAGGATGTGTAATACGTGATGAATCGAGACTATTTTTACATAGTATTATTGTTGTTGTTTAACTTTATTACATTCTCTTTTCATTATTTTTCTTCATTCTCATTAATTGCTAATCAAATTTCTAAAAATACCTCAAACTATCTTTTTACTTTTTCTATTTTTTCAATAAAATATTCATTTTTTTTTAATCAGCATGCCGAACCCAAATGAACTAATTTTTCCGGACGGAGAGAGTATTATTATTCTTACTTGAACATATAATAATTATTTTTTATTATATTTTTACTTATTCATTAGTTTTTATCAATATTGGAATAGATTTATTTTTATTATATATACATCTGATTCAATATAGATATATATATTTCAATTTCACTTAAAATAATATTATTTTTTTCACACGCAAATAAAGGTTTATAATTTAAAATCAATTTTAATGAAATTTTGTTATAATTAAAATTTGTAAAAATTATTTAATCAAATGTTGTCGTAATTAAAAATTGTAAAAATCACGCACATATATATTACTATCTATATTTAAAGCATCTAAATTTTATTCCTTCCGTTTTAAAATAATTCATATTTTTCCATTTTCATTTGTCTTAAATTAATAATTTCATTTCTATAAATAAACATATTACATTAAACTTTCATTACTTTTTCATTATTATTATATAAATTTTACTACATTTGACATAAATATACTCGCAACGGAAAAAATGTTTTTGTACACATTTTTTTACCAACTACAAATATAATATCAATATTTTTTAAATTTTGTATCGAACTCAGTAAGACTATTCTTCTAGGATGGAGGAAGTATTATGTGTATCAGTTATAAAAAATTAATAATATTTAAATTACTTGATATTAAAAATAAAATTTAATGAATATAAGTGTTTGAAAATAATTTTTCAAATAACTTTAAACTTTTTAAAAAGTTTTTAGTTATTTAACCGATTTAAAAACTAATTTAAATGTTTGATAAATTAACATTTTCAAATAAATTTTTAAACCTAAACAACTTATTTTTTATAGTTTTTTTTATTTTTATTATTTCTCTTAATAATTAAATATTCATTTCACACATATTAATATATTTTTTATTACAATATTTATTAATTTTTTTATATGACTTAATTTAGTTTTATAAGCTTACAGTAATTAATATTATTATTTTTTATATGTCAATTATTTTATTTGTCAAATTTTTAAGTGTGTTAAAATAAAGATATTATTATTTATTTATATATATTTTTATATTAAATGACTATATTAAAATAAATTTATTTAAAATTATAACTTTAATAAAAAATAATTAAATTTTAATAAAAAATAATTAAATGTGTTCTCCAACAGTTTCAAAAATTATATTTCTTCAAAAAAATTAATATATTACACATATTTATTATTTTTATGTTACTTACCATATTCCTTATACCTCACAATAAAAAAAAAAATATCTCGTCATACAATTCACTAAACAAACATGCAAGTCCTATTAGTTTAATGAAAAAAATATATACAAAATAATTTGTTCTTTTATATTATACACTATTTCTAATGAAAAATTAGTCATATTTTTTTAATAAAAATACATTTATTTTCTTTAATTTCTTTTAAAAAAACAGCAAAATTAAATATGTTAAAATTTTCATAATTTTCAATAACTAATAATAAAAAGACAAAATAGCAAAAAAATCTCACGTGGTTTACCGAATCTGCTAAAAAACCTCTGTAGTCCTAAAACTCCAAAAAACTTACTCGTGGTTTATAAAACGTTGCAGGAAACACCCTCTATGTTAGGACTTAACGTCAAGTGTCTGTCACGCGCCCAAAGTGCGATGTTTGCTCCAGAAAGTCATATATGAGAGTGAAGTTACAAAAATATCCCTTGGGTTTATTAATTTAAATACGCCCTTCTATTATTCATCTTTCTCTCATTCGTACTGCTTCTTCTTCCTTCAAAGATTGCTCGTCGATTTTCATCACCTACTGCAGCGGCCTCCACCATGCTCTTGCCGGTGGTTCGTTTCCAAAAACTTCAGGTCCGCCCGTATGTAACAATAGTTGAATTTATGTGTTTTTTTTAGTGTTTTTTAGGTGCGCCGGCGGTTCTGTTTTTGGGTGTTTTTTTGGTTTCAGTACGATTTTGCCCATCGCTTTTAGATTGTGTTATAGCAATGCATTTTCTGTCAGGAGACTGCAATTTTGGTTAGAATGTTTATTGAATACAAGTTCTGTGTTATCGTTGTCGGGTTTGGGTCTCTTGATTTTTTGCAGAAAACGGGTGTTTGTTGGGGGAAATGAATTCTGGTAATTTGTTTCTAATTTATTATTTGGTGTTACTAGCAATTTTGAATCGTTTTTTATTTGGAATTACTTGAAACCCTGCAATTTATTAAACCGTAACTTTTTACATCTGTCTGTTTGGCTATAAGTGAATTTTGTTTTGTTTTTTTTTTTTTATCTAGGGCCGAAATCGTGATTCTATAATTTATAATTTTTCTAGTAATTTGTAACAATAGGGAGTGAGTCCGTATGGCTCATATATGAATTTACTTGCAAGCATATAATCTTTTGTGTTTGAGAGTTTTACAATAATTTTCCAGTGATATCATTTAGCAACTCAAAATCAAAGTCTAAGGGCCGGGGAGATCTTGACTTAAGGTATCGATGCCCACGATGCAAGTGTGGGACTTTTGCGGCAATCCGTGTCGTCGGTCCAATGAAGGAAACCCAAGGAAAATTATTTTGAAATTGCCGAGTTGGAGCCTGTGATTTTTTCCATTGGCCTGATCCTGTGAGCACTCTTGTCGGAGAGTGGAGCAATGATGAGGATTATGTGAATGACTTAGAGGTTCAATCTACTGCATTTGACGGGGAGCTACTCAAAGAAACAAAGGGGGTTGCGGATGAAATGTCTAAACTGAAGGTGGTTGTGGAAGAACTACATTCTGAAAGAAAAGCCTTCGGAACAAGATTGATGTATGTCAAGCTTCTCATGGTTGTTGTTATGGTGATTAGCATACCGAATGTCTTTTTTTAAGAAGTTGGTATGTCTTCGACTCATTATGGTATTGGTTCGTCTATTGTCGTAGTAGCAGGGTAGATTTCATTGTAGCTGTAGGTGGGTGTAACGTACCGGCGTCGTAGTAACAACAGGGGTGATAAAGTTGTGGCAGTAGTTGTAATGTGTTTTTCTAATTTGTAATACAATACACCGTAATGGTGCGTGTAGATAGCATACCGTCTCGTTCTTTATTTTTACATGTTGCAATATTTGTACCAATCACTTAGCCATAACAAAATGCCATAATATTAAATCTTCATTAACAAGCCATAACATTAAGCCTTTAACCGCACAAGCCACAACAATACGACCTAAACAAACACTTCAACATACATGGCATAATATTAATTTCCTAACAAACACTGCAATTTTACAATACTTCCAACAACTTAGGCACGAAACAAAATATCCAAACTATAATCTACATAAAGTACAACAACCCACATAATATCCTCGATCCGATTCACAAAATTCCGGGGCTAATATGCATAACTGTGTCCAAGGCTAATTGGTTCTATACTAACAAACACATATGATAATAAACTACTCTGGGTACCTGTGCACGCATCCAAAACAGACATCGATAGAATCTTATTAACGACCTCGGGAAGATGCACCACCTGAAGCCCCCCGACACCCTGGCTTGAGTGAAAACCGAACACTCCGGAGCAGTGATGACCACGATGCACGTCGACTCCCTCCACTTCCGTCTGTCATCCCCGATGGACCCTGAGATTGCACCTGAGACAACGGCGTTGCTGGTACACAGTCCGGTGACGCCTGTACGTTAGAGGCAACCTACCATGTCATCCAAGTAGCAGTGAAATTAATTTTTTTTTGGCAGATAAATATATCCCAGGAATATCTGAGTAGCCTAAGAATTGAAATGGTTACCTATTCGGACTAGGAGCAGTGTCCGTCCGGCCGATTGATGGGATCTTTCCTTGACGTGTTCTATCCATTTAAAGAGCAGCATTAGTTGGAAAATAGTGTTGACACATTTTAGAAGTGACAACAAACTGAGGTGGCTGCTTACCTGTGGTTCGGGTTGGGAACAAAGATCTCTCGCCCGATTCGTGGGAGCTGTCGTTGTGTTCACAAGAACACACTTTAGGGTAAGAACCAATACAATAAAACAGAAAAAATAAAGAGCACTTCATAAGTTCAAGAACCACCTTAGAGAGCGGCGGATCATTTTTGCAACTTCTTTTGTTGTGCCCTTGTCGATGGCATTTGGAATAGGCAGTCATCAATCCATATCAAGATGCTTTACCATCCCGCCGCTCATCATTACCGTCACATTGACCAGCTTTTTTCGGACGCCCAGTGCGAACCTTCACGACAGGAGGTGCCACCTCCCCAAGCATGGATTCTTCGTACTCATGTATTCCAAGGACGGGGTCTATCGCATGGGTGTATACTGCCATTTACGTTTCCTTTTTGAAGCATCCATCTATGAAATTTTCCACCGCAAATCTCTGGTACTCGATCGCGGCCACTCTATGGAAACAAGGATATCCGCTAATTTGGAACATGCTGCAGGTGCACATATGCTGGTTCAGCTTGACAACTTGATTATGCATGAAGTGCATAACTTCGTACTTGTCATCGCCGCCCCATGATGGAAAACAATTTCGGCTACCCTTCCGCACCAGCTCCACCTTTTTCATGATGTTAGGGCACACAATTCCCTCGAATTTCTCGATCCCCGCCTTTTTTTTTTAAGTCGAACCATCAACCTTCGTCATATCCACTCAAACATATCAATTATTGGTAGGGAGCTTCCATGGCTTCTGGAACCTCTGCCTCCGCAAACTCCTGTTCAACTGGAGCCTCCACAGCCTTTGAAGTCTCTGCCTCCATAAGCTCAAGAGCATCCATGGCTTCTGAAACTTCTGCCTCCGTAGACTCATTTTCAACTGGAGCTTCCACAGCCTTTGGAGTTTCCATGGCTTCTGGAACCTCTGCCTTCGCAGACTCCTTTTCAATTAGAGCCTCCACAGCCTCTGGAATCTCTGCCTCCACAAGTTCTGGCACTTCCATGGCTTTTAGAACCTCTGCCTCCGCAGACTCCTTTTCGACTGGAGTCTCCACAACATCTGGAGTCTCTGCCCCTGCAGCTTCTTTTTCGTATGGAGGTGAATTTTCCGCAATCAAAGTAGCACTAGGCTTCTTTTCAAGCCTTGTTTTTGAAAGTGTCCTCCTTATGCAATCTGCGATGACATTAACGTCCATGAGAGGCTTGGCCTCTCGTTGATTTGATGTCAGCGGCTGCACTACAGCTGCCTGCTGATGGAAGGTTGGCGGCTACATCTCTGCGGTCTGCCCTCCTTGCCCTTGTGTTTCGATGATCCTTTTCCATTGGAGATTAGCCACGTTCGGACCGTTACATCCCCATAGTGGCGTTGGCGCATTCCACATAGGATGTCCGCTTAATTGTCCTGGTGGGATCATGCCAAATGCTAGAAATTTGCTTGCCCCTCGTGGAGGCTCAACACTGCTCTTCAAAACTCCAATGGCCAAGGGGTTCCAGCCCTCCGCAGCCTGTTGGCTCCAGCGCTCCGTAGGCTGTCGCTAGCCTTTCACAGGCTGTTGGCTCCAGCCATCCGCAGGATGTTGGTTCCAACCTCTGTAGGCTGCTGGTTTCAGTGCTCCGCAGGCTGTTGCCAGCCTTGCACAGGCTGTTGGCTCCAGCCATCCGCAGGCTGTTGCTTCCAGCTTCCTGCAGGTTGTTGGTTCCAACCTTCCGCAGCCTGGTGGTTCCAACCCTGTTGGTTCCAACCTAATCTTGCCTGCCCCGGCCCTAAGGCCTGAAGCATTGGATGTTTTACAACAATTCCGTAGCTTTCTTCAGGCGGTACAAATGAACCCCATGTCAACCTCGACATCACTCTTCGAAAAATCCGACTTTGGTCCCGCTAGGCGTGCCAATCGTTGGATCCTAAAATTCGGAGGTTCCAAGACCGTTCGTCGATTTGTCGGTGTGGGTTTCGGAAGTACTCCAAAGAGCCTGTCCGTCGTTGGATTTTGGGCGGCTTCTTCGGTGGAGCCTGCACGGCTTCGAGCCTAAACGATCGATTTCGATGGATTTAAACTAACATCTACTAAAACTCGGATAAATCTACTGAAAAACGAATAGAAAACATGTAATTCGAATTAAAATGCATAAAATGAAACTAAAATATGAAAAGAAAATAGAGAAAAATACGAGTTCATCTTCTTGTGCCTCTGTGTGATGCGTTTTTTCCTAATTTTAATCCTAAAATAGAATAACCGCCTCTTCCCACTAAAAAGGGCAGCTCCAATTATTCCTCCACCACTGTCAACCGTCTGGTAACCTCTCACTACTACCTCCAACTTCCTGGTAACCTCCTTCCACTACCTCCAACTGTCTGATAACCTCCTTCCATCAGTTCCTTGGTAATCTCCTTCCATTAGCTCCTAACCACCTGGTAACCTCCTTCGATAAGTTCTCAACCGCTTCCATTGCCCCTGGACTGGGTTCCACTTGCTTTGAAATTCTTCCATTGCCTCTGGACCAAATCTACCGCTTACTCCGACTTGTTTCCATCGTACTCTAGCCGGTCTATGGGGATGTATCCCCAACAGCCTCGAGTTAAATGGAATCTTCGGTTTTCTTCTTGTTTGCTTGTTCCATGAGCTTTTTGAATAGAATATGAAAGTGCATAGGCCCTCCACTAATGTTAAGTATGAAATTATTAACCCAGGGCCAACGAAGGTAGTTATCCCATGATCTGTGGAAGCTGTTGCTTTCTATCTTGTGGTGGCAATCTTCCTTTGCTTTGTGGAAGCATCGCAGTCCAATGGAGATAGTTGTTTTCAATTCAATGGAGACAAAACTTTCTGACCTTATGGAAACATTGTTCCGGGATGAAGGCGTCATAGTCCAATGAATTGCTGTCCTAAAGTCCATGGAGGTTGTTACTTTCGGCCCTGTGGAAGCACCACAATCCAATGAAAAATGTTACTTTCGGGTCTGTGAAGATAGCAGTCTTTGGCTCCGAGGTTTGAAGCTCCATTGCTGTTGAGCGGCTCCGTAGCCAATGAACTCTCACTCCACTTTTATGTTTTGAGTCTTCTTCACGTTCAAGTACTTTTGGACTCAGTCATGTCGAATAGTATCATGTTTGGTGGATAAAACTCATCGATATCAGGAAAAGAGATGATGAGTCCAGCAGCGAAAGTGGAGTTGAACGAGGTTCCGGCACAGAAATTCTCAGCGCACTGGAAAGTATGAAGGATGCCATTAACACTACAGCTCAATTGAGGCGAGGGAGAAGGATAGGTCTATATCCTATAGCGGCGCCAAGGGCTGAATGCAGGGATTACATATATATTATTATTTTATTTTTATATTTGTGCTTTACCTTTATCTATTTCGATTTCCACCGACCACCGCCACGCCCGCCGCCTCACCGTCCAACATATTTGGATGGTATCCCAAAATTTAAACAATCATTACCATTTTTTTTTAATATTTATGCTTTGATCAATGACAGTCACCATTGCACTGCCACACCGTTTACTATCAAAATTCTACGACTAAAAATACAATTATCTCGATATTTTCAAACCCACTATCAAATCGATTAAATGATAGAAGAAGTTGAGGCCGTAGTTGGAGCAGAGAGAGAAGGAAAAGAGAAATGTAACTTACACTACAATTGAAAATGAGGATAACATAACCTGTGAGAGAAGTGAAGGCAAAGTCGGAAACGAAAGTTCAAAAAAACAAAAATAACCCGATAATGAAGACATAAAAGAAACAGGGGAAGAAGAAGAAGAATGGAAAAAGGAAAGAGAAGAAAATGAGAAGAAAGAAATGAATGAAAGAGGGGGTGAAGGGGAAAGCGAAGAACCTAAAACTAGTTCCCGTGGCGGCTTAGGATAGATGAGTGAATGAGTTTTGATTGGGGCAATAAATTAATATTGGACTCCCTCACTATCAAATATAGTCACATAATGACTCTAGACACAAAATTTTGAGAGTAGTGTAGTTAGTAAATAATAATTAAATGTATTAATAAAAATAATTATAGAGTTAAATTAAAATAACTAATTAGTAAATTTAAAATTGAAAAAATTATAAATTTAAAATTTTAAAATGTGATTAAAGTATATAATTTTTCTAAACAAAAGTGACAAAATATAAGAGTGACAAAAATGAAAATTGTGATATCATACGTAGGATAGGAAAAATATATTTTATAAATAAAGTTATATGTTTATAATTACAACAGTAATAACAAAATATATTTCATTTTCATATAAAATGTTTATTTTTTTATTTTTTGTCCGTTCTTATAATTTATCCCTTTTATTTTATGAAAATGATTACATATTTTAAATTTTATAATTTATAGTTTTTAAATTTAATTAAATTATTTGCCTATTTTAATTTTAATCTATAATTATTATTTGTATTATACAATAATTATTTTTACTAATATATTTTTAATTATTTACTAATTATATTTTTTTAAATTCTCTTATCTATATTAATCTAGACATTTCTATTGGGACGGAGAAAATAAAATTTTAGGGAAAAAGTCAATTTTGGTTTCAATATAAAAAATTCATCAATTTTGGTCTCAATATAACCAAATTTATCAATTTTGATCTCAATATAAAAAAACTCATCAATTTTAGTCCCAATATAAACAATTTCAATCAATTTTGGTCCATTTATAAACAATTTTAATCAATTTTGGTCCCACCATTAAAAAACTAACGGAAATTGCTGACGTGGACATGACGGAGGTGACATGGCAGCTGACCTGGAAAGTACACGGCCATGTACAATTATACACGGCTATGTTGTTACATGGCCATGTATATTTCAGTGTATAATTATACACGGCCATGTACATTTTTATTTTAGTTTAATTTTTTTCTTTTGTTATATTTTTTTAAAAAAATTATTTTAAATTTAAAATAGTTGATATAGTTAAAATAGACAAAATCAATAGTAATTATAATATAATTAAAATTTATCAATTTTAATTCAAATATAAAAATTTATAAGATATATTCTTTTGAAAGGTTTTGTCTAAAATTTTATTATTCATAAAAAAAATTCTCTTACAAACATCCAATTACACAACTATTTTTTAATTTTGTATATTATAGTAGTATTAAAAATTAATTTATTATTTCAATACATTAATTGGATGTTTGTAAGAGAATTTTTTTTGTTAAATAGTAGAATTTTAGACAAAATCTTCCAAAAGAACATACTCGATAAATACTTATATTTGAACTAAAATTGATATATAATAATTATATTATGATTATTATTGATTTCTTTTTTCCATTTTAACTATATCAACTATTCTAAATTCAAAAAAAAAAATTAAAACATATAAAAAAAAATTAAAATTTTAGACCGAAACAGAAAGGTACACGGCCATGTAGAATTATACATGGTCGTGTAATAACATGGTCATGTAACAACATAGCTGTGTATAATTGTACATGGCCGTGTAACAATATGACCATGTATAATTATACACTGAAATATACATGACCATGTAACAACATGGTCGTGTAGAATTATACATGACCGTGTAACAACATGGCCATGTATAATTATACACTGAAATATACATGGTCATGTAACAACATGACCGTGTATAATTGTACATGGCCGTGTACTTTCCAGGTCAACTGCCATGTCACCTCCGTCATGTCCACGTCAGCAATTTCCATTAGTTTTTTAACGGTGGTGTTAGAAATTTTGGGGAAAAATAATGAGATTGTATTATTGATCATCAAAATAAGGAGTCTATATATAGGCAATACAAAACAGACTCGACTCAAATTTAAGTAATCTAATCGATGAATAAGATCAAATTTAGATATAAATCTACTAAATCTAAAACTAAATATCTAAAATATCTCAACATCTCCCCTCAAACTCAAGTGGTATAACAGAAACCAACTTGAGTTTGATGAGAAATTTGAATATAAATGCAAAAAGAAAACATAAATAAAATTAGCAACTTTCCACCCACCGGAGCAAAGGTGGAGCAAAAAACGAGATGACTCTCCACCGGAGTCGAAAACGAGATACTTTCCACCGGAGCAAAAAACATGATGACTCCACCGGAGTCGAAAACAATATGACTCCACCGGAGCCGAAAACGAGATGCTCCACCAAAGTCGAACACGAGATGACTCTCCACCGGAGCCGATAACGAGCCTAAAACAAGATGACTCCACCGGAACTGAAAACGACAGGACTTCACTGGAGCCGAAAACGAGATGACTCCACTGGAGCCGAAAACGACATGACTCCACCGGACCCGTCGAAAACGACATGACTCCACCGGAGTCGAAAACGGGATGACTCCACCGGAGCCGAAAATAAGATGACTCCGCCAGAGCCGAAAAACGAGATGACTCCACCGGAGCCTAAAACGACATGCCTCCACTGAAGCTGAAAACGACATGACTCCACCGGAGCCGAAAACAGACAAATCGCAAATATCGGACAGATCAGATCGCACGCAGGCAACAGACAAACAGCGGACAGATGGCAGATCACAGACAGATTTCCGGCAACAAATAAGCAACGAAAGATGGCAGATCGCATGCAGGCAAGAGACAGGCAACGACAGATGGCAGATCGGAGATAAAACGAGACAAATTTGTAAAAAGACAACTTGCAAAGACATGATCTCAAAATCACAAGACCTTCTCAAAATCAAAAGACCTTCGGGTACAATCCAGGTTGAATGTACCCGGAGAAACACGGGTTGATAGGCTATATCGACGGCATGAGAAAAATAGGCTCTGATACCATGTTGAAAATTTTGGGGAAAAATAATGAGATTGTGTTATTGATCATCAAAATAAGGAGCCTATATATAGGCAATACAAAACACACTCGATAGACTTAAATCTAGGTAATCTAATCTATGAATAAGATCAAATCTAAATATAAATCTACTAAATCTAAAACTGAATATCTAAAATATCTCAACAGGTGAGACCAAAATTGATTAAAATTGTTTATAATTTGACCAAAAATTGATTGAAATTGTTTATATTGGGACTTAAATTGATGAGTTTTTTTATATTGGGACAAAATTGATGATTTTTTTTATATTTGAACCAAAATTGATAAATTTTGGTTATATTGGGACCAAAATTGATGAGTTTTTTATATTTAAACCAAAATTGATAAATTTTGGTTATATTGGGACCAAAATTAATTTTAACATAAATTTTATATTGATTATTTTTTGCTAATATTAATAAATAAAATAGAAATTTATAATTATATATTTATTTTGTCTATTCAATATCAAATATCAAATACTAAAATAAAATAACATTTATAATTTTAGTAGAATTGAGTAAATTTTATATTGATTGAAAAATTTATATATTCAACATTATAAGTTGATTTACATAAAATATATATATATATATATACATAATATATATATGTTGATTTTATATTGAAACTTTTCAGTAATACCAATAAATTTTGATTGTTTAACAATTTAATTATTTTTTAATAAAATGATGTTTAAAAATGATTTGATAATATTAGTTTTAATTTAAAATTACATTAAAATACACTTTAACATCCTATCCGTGTATAACACGGATTAGCTCTAGTAATCATATTAATATTTACATTTAAAGGGTGTATGAGCCATCATGCGTAATACTAATTTTAAAAGATTTAGAATTTTTATTTTTTAAAATTTTGATTGATTAGAATATTATGTAGTCCTATACATTAACATTAATATGTTTCAATATTTTTTTTTGGGCCAAATACATAATAATAATAATAATAATAATAATAATATAGACTGGGCTAAAAAATTATATATAAATATAAAAATGGATCATATTAATATTTTTTTATAAAATTATATTTTATCGACATTGCTTTCAACAATAAAAAAAAAATTATAGTTATTGTTATAAGTATGACAATGTATATGTTAACTTGTACATACCTAGCCTTTAGACTATGTTAAAAGTGCACTCCAAAATTCAACCAGACACCCAATCCATATTGGAAGCCTAACTTAGGGAGAACACGGCCCATAAAAAGGCCCAAATCAGTAAGATACTTGGTCAAAGGAGAAACGGATAAAGCATAATTTGAAAGTGAGAAGAATTTAGGGGAGGTTGAAAAAGAATAAGGAATGAGAATCTTATCAGAACAAGGTTTAGGGAATAAAAGGAAAAAGAAGACGCCGTGAGAGGGCATCTCATCTTCTTCAACATTAATTTTTTCTTTGCAATTTAATTTCCGTAGTATTTTTAGAATTTTTACAGCTTTCTTCGATTAATTCCAATTTAATTTTTAGCTTCGTTCTTGTTTATTT